ATAACAATTACAATTCATTTATTTATTCATATTTTCTATTCGATATTTAAGTATTATACATCTAATCAGTCAAAGACTGATTAGATTTTTTTGTAAATAATTTTACAATGACACAAAAACTTTTAATTGAAATTGGTTCCAATCTACAATTTTGTTTAATTGATCTTTTTAATGCATTAGTAGCTATAATTTTTTTATATGTTGTATTTAATATATTTAAAATTATTTCTAATCAGTCAAAGACTAATAATGATCAATATATTACTAAAGAAGACTAATAACAAATATCATTTACAAGTAAATGATGAAACCAAAGAATGTAATAATTTTGAATTTGAACGATATTCAACATTATTTTCTGATTGGATTGTTCTAAGTTTAACTTATAAAAATAAGAATTTTTATCATCAATATTTTGTAGTTCCAGAATCAGATTTTAATTATTATTTACAAACATATTTCTACTATTATATTGACTCAAATAACTATATTTATAATTTACAAACTAGAGATTTTTTCTGTTTGAAAAATGGAATTATAACTGATCAAATGATGCATTATAAATATGGATCATATATTTATCATAAATTAGATGAAAAAAAAATATTTTTATTCTCTGAAGAATTTGCAATACTTGTTTTTGATTCAAATTCTGCAAATTATGATTTAAATAATGATTTAAATTTGTTAGCTTAAATTCAATTACTCTAATCAGTATATTATACCGATTAGATTTTCCTTTATATAATTTTAATAATGTCCAAAAGAAAATATCAAGATGATAAAGAAAATGAGCAAAAATATAAAATTCAAAAAATAAAAGAAGTTGATAAAAAAATCTGGTGGTATAGAGATAATAAAAATATGAATTATCGATGACTATTATTATATCCTGATAATAATAATCATATTACTGAATATGTTTAAGTTAAAATAACAAAAGATAAAAAATTTCTAATTGATATAGAAAATAAACCTCTTATCAAACAATTTTATTTTATTTTTGAAAACAAAACAATTATTGATAAAAAAACTAAAATATCTTTATTGAAAATATTATATCCTGAGACACATATTGATAAAATTAAATTTAAAAATAATTGTAAACTTGATTTTTGTGCTTCTAATATCGAAATTATTAATGAATGAAATTTATTATTATTATTCTAAAAATAGCTTTTTAAAAATTATATAAACCCTTATTTCTCTTTTATTTTTTTTTATTTTTTAATGGAACCTGAATTATTATTTTATCAATTATTAAAATTATTTATTTTATATTTTATTATATATGAAATAACAACTACATTAATTGTTATTATTACTTTAATTAAAATCAAACAATCTAATTAGTTTCATAACTGATTAGAATTTTATTTATGTAATTGAATCTTTAAGTAATTTATAAGATAAGAGAGCTCTCAACTATATTTTGTTAAGAATTTGGTTCTTTTACTTTATATTAACTCTCATTTCCACTATCTATGGAATGATAAACCTAAATTATCCTTGAATGTTATGTTTATTTGTATAAACTGACTTCAAGATGTTTAATTATTATTCTACTTTAGGTTATTATGCTGTTCATGTTGGACACATACCTGGAATATATACATCTTGGAAAGAATGTGAAGAACAAGTAAAACATTTTAATGGTGCTTTGTATAAAAAATTTGATACAAAGCAACAAGCAGAAGATTTTATTACTATACCAACTCAAGAAATTTTAGAAAATTCTTTAAATATTTGGACTGATTGATCATGTGATAATAATTTCAGAATCATAAATGGAAGAAAAATGTTTAATAATAAAAATAGTTCAATAGCAGGAGTTGGTGTTTTTTTCAAAGATAATGATTCACGAAATATATCTGAAAGATTACCTGAAATACAACAAACAAATAATAGAGCTGAATTATATGCAGTTATATGAGCTTTAGAAATTGTTAATAAAAAACAAAATATTGTAATTAATACTAATAGTACTTATATTATAAATTCTATCAGAGCAACTGGAATTAAATTGATTAATTCAGATCTTATTAATAGAATAAATGATTTAATTAATATAAGAACAGGTAAAACATATTTCAATCATATAAAAGCTCATTCTGGTATTTATGATAATGAACAGGCAGATAGGCTAGCATTTTTAGGTTCTCAAAAATCATTTGTTAAAAATTTAAATTTTAATTCGAGTAATAAGGAAAAAATTGATTTTTATTTTACTAAAAAAGAGCAAACAGATAATTCAGATACTGCACAAGATTCTTATTTAAATGAATTTTTTCGTATTCTTAAGATATTAGAAAATGATAAAGATCAACAAAAGTTAACAATTGAAACTAAAAACAAAAATATTTATTTAATGCTAAAAGAAGAAAGAATTAAATATTGGTTAAAGAATAATTGGTGTCATAAAGAAACTAATGAGAAACTTAAAGCTCCAAAAGAAATATATATTAAAATTAAAGAGTTAATAGATAGTAGATCTAAAGAAATTGATTTTGTATATTTACAAAGAAAAAGAAATAAAAATAAATAATAAGATTCTTTTTATTTTATTAAACATTATACAAATATTTTTTAAATTAAAACTTTGAGGATCTGTGACGAAAACGGCAAGCTTGCGATGATGGCATTCGTTGCAGATATTCAAAGTTTTACGTAGCTTGCCACGAAAAACAAAAATAAATCTTACACCTTGAAGGCCAGTTTATATACAAATAAACATAACATTCAAGGATAATTTAGGTTTATCATTCCATAGATAGTGGAAATTTTTATCATTATGTGTGTTTACTACATCGATTCAAGATGAGGTTGAGGACCGAGCCATATCATCGATACGGAAATCTTGTATTAACGTAATAACAAACAGAATGAATTATTAATATATTTTATTTTATTTAAATATTTGTGTAACTTTAAAAATTATAAAAAC